TCACAGCTCACAGCAACCTTAAACTCTTGGGCTTAAGCAATTCTCTTGCCTCAGCCTCCCAAGTAGCTGAGACTACAGGCGCCCACCACAACGCCTGGCTATTTTTTGGTTGCAGCCGTCATTGTTGTTTGGCGGGCCCGGGCTGGATTTGAACCCACCAGCTCAAGTGTATGGGGCTGGCGCCTTAGCCGCTTGAGATACAGGCGCCGAGCCCCCAGCTTTCTTTTCAAGGAACACATCACAAATTTTGGATCGTACCTTCACTGTATTTATCTCTTGATTTCATTCTAGTCAAATCGGTTATATTTGTTCCTCCAAACGAATTATCCAAATATTATTTTACTCAAAATGGGAGTCTGAATTTCAACAGACGATGTGTTAAATTTTCCGGGAAATTGTTTTCCCCTCCTGCGTTAGTGTACCAAATTCTAGACAAATTTACTTCTGAGAAAAGACATAACTCCTCTTTTCAAGTCTTCTTTAAAAGGCAAAGAAAGGAAGCACGTATCCCAGGATACCATGAGTCAACGAAGAAACTGGAAACTTCCAGGGCAAAATCTTACTCCCACAATGAATTCTGCAAGGAATCGTGAGTTGAAACTGATCCAGCTATTTGTAGGATTACAATAAATACAGTTTTGCCCTCAGCACCACAATTCACAGCCAGGCTGCATCAGACAGGGACGCAAGAGAGGTGGTGGGGAGAATCTGAGCAGCCTCTTCACTCTAGCGCTCAGTTTTCTCTCCAAACAAGGATTCTGAGCTACACAGATCCTCCTCAGTGGCAATCACCTCCCCCACCCAAGCAAAAGTTCCTTTCTCCTGTCTTCTTTGCAAACAATACCTGAGTTTGAAAGTTCCTTCCAGGATAGCAAGTGAATTTACTCTATTTAACCGAATAAACTGAAGAACATGCCAGAAGGAAAGGTGGGTTCCTACAGTTGAGCATTTTCTGCAGTAGGCCTTTCTGTCAAAACAACCCCCCCCCATTTCTCGCGCAGAATCCTTTATAAATATTTTAATGATCATAATTACATTGAGACAGTCTCCACAAGAAACGACTTTTTGGCTCGGCGCCTGTGGCTCAAGCGGCTAAGGCGCCAGCCACATACACCTAAGGTGGAGGGTTCGAATCCCCAGCCCGGGCTGCCAAACAACAATGATGGCTGCAACCAAAAAAATAGCCAGGCATTGTGGTGCGCCTGTAGTCCCAGCTACTTGGGAGGCTGAGGCAGGAGACTCGCTTGAGCTCAGGAGTTGGAGGTTGCTGTGAGCGTGATGCCATGGCACTCTACCCGGGGGGATAGCTTGAGGCTCCGTCTCAAAAAAAAAAAAAAAAAAAGAAACGACTTTTTGATTTGCTCAACAGAAAAAGTACTCCACAGTTGTGCTCAGGGCCAAACAAAACCGGAAAATGAATTTTCACTGAGTTAGACTTGTACTGATTCACCTGAAGTGAAGGCTATCTCCTTCATTACGTGTTTGATTTGCTCTAATTCAAAATGCAAATAACTTAAAAGGTGAATCGCTGAATGGAATTTCAGTCTTCCAGGAAAATAAAAGGTAACCTGCCGGGCTGACTCCAGGAAGGACTCCTCCGGGCCACCCCCACTTCCAGAACAGTCTGGTCTCTTTTCTGCCATGGGCAATTGAACGAAAGGACAATGGCTGCCAAACTCTGGCGGGCCATCAATGTCCTAGTCCTAAATTGGAAATAGCTCTTCAAACTGCTCCCAGTCCATATTCATTTCATCAAAATTGTGAAACAAATCCAGAAAAGGTATAGGTGGTTTTTGCCCTATGTGTGCCCTAAAACTTGGAAACCTGATTCACTTTTCTTAACTATGTAATGAGAACTCTTGAGCCTTTCGTAATGTTTCTTCCTTGGGGTGGCTGGAGTTTTCAGTTCCTGCCTTTTCCTCTGTAGCCCGGTTCTTTTGTTTCTGTTATTTGCGCCCCCGCCCCATCCTTTACCTCCAATTCCTTCCCAGTACCCGCGGCCGACTGCCTACAGACTCAGGGAACCCAAGTTCAAAACGCCGGCGAGCCATGATCCCCCAGCCCCCGGAACAGCGCCCCTCCCAGGCAGGGGCAGGAAGCGGCCGCCGCGCCCCGTGCCGCTTCCCTCCCTTCGGGCCAGAACAATAGCTTTTTGCCCGGAAAACGAAGCTGGGAGGGAGACAATCATGCACGCCCCGGGGACCGAGCCGGACTCGGTGAGGGACCTCGGGTCCGAAGACGCTGGGCTCCTCTTCCCTCTACGCCCCGGCCCACCAGTACCCCGGATCCGCGACCCCGGTCCCAGAGCGCGCGGAACCGCGGCCGGCGGGACGCCCAGCCCGCCACGGACAATGCGCGCCCCGCCCCGCGCCCGCCTCCGCGCGCTGATTGGCCCACTCCGGGTTTGGGCCGCTAGCGGGGGCGGACGGCGGGCTCCCGCGCGGGCGCGGGGCCGCGGTGCGCGTGCGCGGGGCGGGCCGGGCCGGACGGGGGCGGTGCTTTGTGAGCAGCCGCGGGGCGAGCGGCGGTGCGGGCGGGCGGCGGTGCCGCGGGCTGGTTGGCTTTGCGGCAGCATGGAGGAGCTGAGCAGCGTGGGCGAGCAGGTCTTCGCCGCTGAGTGCATCCTGAGCAAGCGACTCCGCAAGGTGCGTGCGGCCCGGCCCGCCACCCTTTCCGCCCGCCCCCCTCCCCCAGCTCACCCGCCCCTTCTCTCCGCAGGGCAAGCTGGAGTACCTGGTCAAGTGGCGCGGCTGGTCCTCCAAGTGAGTCCCCCACAGCGGCGCCCGCCTTCCCGCCCGCCTCATCTCGCCATAGGGGTAGGGGAGGGACCCTCGGCCGCGCGGTAGAGGGGCCGAGGAGGTCTGCGGGCAGGGCGCGAAGTTCACGGGGTCCTCACGGGCTACTCCGGCTCGTTGGGGGAGCAGCCCCGAACTGCCCTTTGTTTACAAGCCTGCGGGGTGCGAGGCCTGGCGGCCTCCCGCGCGGAAAGCCCCCTCCGGCCGCGCGCCCCGCCCGCGCCCATTTGTTGCATGCGCCCCCCTCCCCGGCACACCCCTCCCCGGCTCCGCGGAGTGGGAAGCGCGGGATGTGCGCCCCCCTCTTGTCCGTGTTTTCCCCGCTGTAACCTGAGCTTTCTGCTGATGGATGTAGGGTTTCTTTTCCTTTCTTTCTTTTAATGGGAGGGAGAGGATTTAGCATCCCCAGAGGGGCTCTCTTCACAGCTGCTCTCGTAGCCCAGTCCCCCTTCTTCCCGGACCTCACTCTTCTTTCTTTGCGCCCCCTCCCGTGCTGGCCCGCGCTTGCCTGGGCCCAGCCACATTGTTCTGAGCCTTGGGCTGTGCGCCTGTGCCCCTCCCTGCCTCCTAGACCTGCCTTCCCTTCCCTCCCTGGCTCCGGGCCAGGGTTTGGGGGATTCCCTCTCTGCAACTTTGCGTTTTGTTGGGATTTGGTTTTCTCCCTGGTGGAGACAGTGAGAGTCCTCTTGTGGCTGTGTTTTAATTGGGGGGCTGAAGTAGAAGTGTCTCCTTGGGTTTGAGGTGAGAGTGCTGGCTTCATGGTCCCCAGCCTCCAGAACCTGGGTTTGCTCCTTTGAGGACTGCCACAGGACGAGGGGAGCAGGTCACTGCCTGGTGTTTGATGCCACCCTCCTCTTTGCTCTTCCAGACATAACAGCTGGGAGCCAGAAGAGAACATCCTGGACCCAAGGCTGCTCCTGGCCTTCCAGAAGAAGTGAGAGTTAACTGCCATGGGAAGGCGGGTGGGAGGGCAGTAGCTGGTTGCACCAGGATTGGGGCAGTGGTCTGAGGTCTATAACAAGACTGGTCCCAGGGCCTCCAATGCCATCTCCATGGCAGTTCCACTCACACCTTCTCCCAGCCAGTACACAGCGCTGAAGTGGGTCCCCCCATCCCCCTGGCCACACCTATTCCTGAAGAAACCCTGAGTAAGTGCTGCTTTGGGCTTTCTGATAGCCAGACTTGCAAAAACAAACCTGCTTGGCTCATTTCATGTAAGGATCCTGGCTTCTGTAGGCCTTTTCTATTGAGTAATTTGCAGACAGCGCTAATAAAAACCAGGATAGCAGGTTTGCCATAATAGTACAGACCTGATCTTCTGGCCCTGCATGTGAGTGTGCCACTGGGTAAGAGAAGGCTCAGAGAGGGGGCTGAAACACACAGCACAAGGTTATGCCTGCTACAGTGTCTCTATATTGAGAAGAACAGGTTTATTTTGTTCTGGGCTAGGAAACTGTACTGATACAGTACTGAGGGAGCCCCGGGGGGCCCATTGCCAGTGTTGAACCAGTTGCTTCTGTAATTCTAGATGTCATTTCTATTTTTAGATAGTAGACTTGACTTAAGAGGTAGATCTCCTTGAGGTGGTGAAGGGAGAAGGTGGGAGGGAAGCCTCTGCAGCCCCAGCACACCCTTCTGGGAAGTGTTGTTTATGAATATAGGGAGGTGGAGTTAGTGGCTCTGACACCTCCCCCTTGCTGCAGCCCGCCCTGTTGATAGAGACAGATGAACTGCTTGCTCAAATCTTTCCTGGCTGGGGTCAGACTGGCAAGCTTGTTCTCTGGAAGCTGAAGCTGTGTTCACTTTTTTCCACTGTAGTAGGACATTTTGGCTCTTCTTAGAGGGGCCATGACAGTGGGATGAGAGAAGGTGTGACAAGCGTGCTGTAGTTTCGTAACTTCGGGAAATCTCAGCAGCAACCTCTTCTCTTTCATTCCTGACTGGGGCCTGTAAGCCTTGGGGAGGGAGGTGAAGGCATAACCTACTTCAGGAGCTAGTCCACCGCTGTCTCTCTAAGATAGCATCCTGACTGCTGAGAGAGGGCTCATCCTCACCCTGCTTTTGGTTGTGCAGCAGACAGGAGCAGAAATATCAGACATATAAGAGTTTGGAAACCAGGGTGGTCTGGATTACATTATGGAAGGAAAAAACCCAAGAAGGTGACACTCCACCTTCTTTCAGGCACTAGGTACAAGCAATTACTTGCTTGGTATTGGGAAGGGCACGCCACAGGCTCACAACGTCCAGTGCCCAGGCTGATGTTTCTGCAGAGGGAGACCCACGAGATGAGATGCCTCATTATCCTTTTAGGATATTGTGAGTCGAGGGCCAATGCTTTGACACTTGAGCTTTGCCTGGTTGTTGAGCTTCACTTTCAGGCCCCAGTAAGATGATGTTTGCACATTTTAATAACCAGGACCCCATCCCATGGGGATATAGCCTGGTATGTCGGCGTTCCCTGAGGATTTCCTCACTCCCAGGCACGTAGGCTGCTTTATGGGGGACTACCGGGGGTACAGGTCTAGAGCCCTGGCCACTCAGAATTGTGAGCTCTGTCAAGACCAGAATTCAGGACTAGAGAGGTATCCATGCACAGCAGCAGGCTCTGGGAAGGCTGGAAGGCAGAGGTGGCCCCAGGGCCAACCCTTGGTGCTCAGGTCACCAATGAGAGGTGAGGGCAGATGCCTGTGGTTGTGGGCATCTCCTCTTGAAAATGTGGAGGTTGGGCCTCATGACCACAAAGGCTGCTTCCAGCTGGGATATGCTGGAGTATCCACAGAACATCCTACCTACAGAGAGCTGCCTCATGGCAGGTCAGAGAAAACTCCTGGGTTGTCTTTTTTTTTTTTTTTTGAGACAGAGCCTCAAGCTGTCCCCCTGGGTAGAGTGCTGTGGCATCACAGCTCACAGCAACCTCCAACTCCTGGGCTCAAGCGAGTCTCCTGCCTCTGCCTCCCAAGTAGCTGGGACCACAGGCATCTGCCACAATGCCTGGCTATTTTGGTGGGGGAGAGGTTGCAGCCGTCATTGTTGTTTGGCGGGCCCGGGCTGGATTTGAATCCGCCACCTTAGGTGTTTGTAGCTGGCGCCTTAGCCACTTGAGCCACAGGTGCCGAGCCCTTTGGCTTTTCTTTACCTAAATTCAAGTAAAGTAGGATAGTTGGAAAAATAATACCAACCTATTTGCCAAGAATGGAGTCCAGACCTCTGCTATGGGTGCCCCCTGCAGACAGATGCTGCCCGGTTCCAAGCGGTGGCAGGGGATGTGTGCAGGGTTTCTCCCTCCCTAACTAGGATGTGCCTTTAGGGAACACGAGAAGGAGGTGCAGAACCGGAAGAGAGGCAAGAGGCCAAGAGGCCGGCCAAGGAAGCTCACGGCAATGTCCTCTTGTAGCCGGAGTTCCAAGCTCAAGGTGGGTAGCTATGCCTTCCTTGCTGACCCCATTGGGCTGGGCAGCGGGCAGGGGAGGGAAGGTATGAGGGCCCTCAGGAAGAGGGAGAGGCACTTCTGCAGCAATGGAGAAAGGACCCCCCTTTTCTTGCGGCCTCTTGTCCTCTGAGTGGTGCCAGCCAGCTACACAGCTAGGTTTTCCCCAACCAATCGCTGGCCTTGGGCCCCTGGGAGGTGGCTTCCTGCTTCAGTTGATTCCATTCTGTATGCTCCTTCCTCTTGGGTAACAGGGTTATACTTGGCTGCTGACTGCATGCCCCACTGGGGAACAAAGAACAAGAAGCATGTATACAGTAGGTGCTCATAGGTTGTAGATGGGAGCCGTCCATCAGGTCTGGATACTGAGCCGTTTATGTGCACCTTAGTACACCATAGTCAGGGACACCTACTGGTGCCTTCTCGGGTATCCTGTCACCCCTTCCCTACTACGGTGATGGGGCTTATGGGGGCTTCTTCATAAACCCCAGGGTCCTCAGAATTGCTCTCTTCCCCCTGGGTTTGGTCAGCCAGGATGGGGAAGGAGGGCCTGGTCTGAGTGTGTCTTTGATTTCTTCCTCAGGGTCACTACCCCCTCGCCCTGTCCCCCTGAGATACTATGGCCACAAGCTCAGTCACTGAACAACCCCCTGCCCCTTTAGAGTCTTGTTAGCTAGTCTATGCTGGCTTCCCCTTGTGTTTAGAATCTTCTTTCAGGCAGGGCAGTAAGGCCTGCAGAAGTTGTGCTGGTTGTGAGAAGGATCTCTGCAAGGTGGTACACTTTTGGGGTGTGGAAGTGCTTTCCAGGGAAGCCCTGAGGCCTTCTGCTTGCTCCTCTTCTAGTGTCTAGTCTCCCTCTCTAGTCTGAAAACCATGGGAGGTGCTGACCACAAGGTGCCTGGTCAGCGCATGCTGACAGCATGGTGCTCCTGAGCTGGGGCCAGACAGTGGAAGTGTGACGCCTTCTCCTTTGCCTTTCAGGAGCCCGATGCTCCCTCCAAGTCCAAATCCAGCAGTTCTTCCTCTTCCTCCACATCTTCCTCCTCTTCCTCAGATGAAGAGGATGACAGTGACTTAGACACCAAGAGGGGCCCTCGAGGCCGTGAGACCCACCCAGTGCCTCAGAAGAAGGCCCAGATCCTGGTGGCCAAGCCTGAGCTGAAGGATCCCATCCGTAAGAAGAGAGGACGCAAGCCCCTTCCCCCAGAGCAAAAGGCAGCCCGGAGACCCATGAGCCTGGCCAAGGTGCTGAAAACTGCCCGTAAGGATCTGGGGACTCCAGCTAGCAAGCTACCCTCTCCACTCAGTGCCCCTGTGGCGGGCCTGGCAGCCCTGAAGGCCCATGCCAAAGAGGCCTGTGGTGGCCCCAGCACCATGGCCACCCCAGAGAACCTGGCCAGCCTGATGAAGGGTGTGGCCAGCAGCCCCAGTCGTGGTGGCATCAGCTGGCAGAGCTCCATTGTGCACTATATGAACAGGATGGGCCAGGGCTCTGCCCAGGCTTCCAGCCGATTGGCTCTCAAGGCCCAGGCCACCAACAAATGTGGCCTTGGGCTGGACCTAAAGGTGAGGACGCAGAAAGGGGATCTGGGGCTGAGCCCCCCAGGAAGCAAAGTCCCAAAGGCCCCCAGCAGTGGGGCTGCAGAGCAAAAGGCGGGGAGCACAGGGGGAGCCCCTCATGCCCACAGCGGTAGCAGGATCCCTGCTGGGTGCCCAGGCCCTCAGCCAGTGCCCACCCAGGAACTGAGCCTCCAGGTCTTGGACTTACAGAGTGTCAAGAATGGTATGCCTGGGGTGGGCCTGCTCGCCCGCCACACCTCGGCAACCAAAGGTGTTCCCACCACCAACTCAGCTGCTGGGAAGGGTTCTGGGGGTGGCCCCACTGGGGGCAGTGGAGCCAGCATGTCCACCGAAACAAGCAAAAGTGAGAAGCTGGCCCCTAGGGTGGCAGCTCTGCCCACCCCTACAGGCAAGAGGGACTGTGTTAAGGGTGGTACTACCCACCGTGGGCAGGATGGTCGAACAGCCCCAGGAGACATCCGCAAGGCAGCAGTGCTGCCGGAGATGAGTGCCGGCGAGGACAGCAGCAGCTCCGACTCAGACCCTGACTTGGTGTCGCCACCCAGCACTGGGCAGAACCTGTCAGTGTCCGTCCAGACCAGCCAGGACTGGAAGCCCACTCGCAGCCTCATTGAGCATGTCTTTGTGACTGACGTCACTGCCAACCTCATCACTGTCACGGTGAAGGAGTCCCCCACCAGTGTGGGCTTCTTCAACCTGAGGCATTACTGAAGGCCCTGCTGCCAGCTGTCTGGGTCTTATCTGCCCTGCCTCTCTGAACTAAACTGAAGCCCAAACCCTCTGGAAGGGCTGGCTCGGGGAAGAGAGGTGTGTGAGCTCCTCTCCGGGCAGGTGTGGAAGGGGCTTCTCCCCAGTGCCCGCCCTGTCCTGGGTCTTGGGCAGGGACCTGTGTCTTTGCCTTGGTGGGGCCAGGGTCCCCACACTCCTACCTCTTGGCTGCTTCCTCACTCTTCTGGCTCACCTCAGGCACCTGTGGCTCCAGCCATTTGGAAGATCAGGTTCCCTGAGTGCAGCCACCCTCCCTACCTGGTGGCTCTTGGCAGCTTTGCTCTGCTCTCTTTGCTGTGGTGCCTTCTCCCAGTCCAGCTTGACTTCTCCCCCAGGGTGGGGAGAGGAAGTGCATTGGTGGAAACCAAACCCCCAGGACTACTCCAGGGAGGGGCCCACCAGTGTTGCCTCTGCCTGGAGCAATTTTAGGAGACAGGGTGGGGTGCAGCTAGCACGGGCCTGGCTGTTTGAAGCCCCCCTTTCCCAGCAGTGCCTGTGCCGCCAAAGGGTATGGGTCTTACCCCCACAGCAGGGGTCCAACTGGGGCCTTCCTGTCTAATACAAGGTGTTGGTAGCAGCAGTGAGGCTGGGTGAGGTCGGAGGCTGGAAGGGTTGGCTTTGTAGCCATGACATCCTAATTCAGAATAATGTGCAGCCCGGGAGTAGACCTGAGAGTCTAATGTGGTAGAGGGCTGGTCCCACAGCTTAAGTCTCATATGAAGAGCCTCCAAGTTGGGTCTGGGGGCAGGATGTGTTACTGTCCTCCTTCCTGCTGGCCTGTGACCCTGGTCACCTTCCAAACCAGCCACAGCCCTCTTACCAGGGCCCCTCAGCTCTGAGGGGTTGAAGGTCCTGGGACTGTGGTGTGTCCAGAGAGAAGCTGGAAATGGTGTGCAGGCCAGCAGAGGGACCCTGGGCGGGAGAGCCTTTCTACTCACTGGAGTTTGTCTTCTGGTAATAAAGGCCCAGCTTAGTCCTAATCACAGCCACATACTGGGGACCACCGAGGACAGAAGTGCAGGCACCAGCTGCAGGTTGATGTTCTCTGGTGTCCCGCTCTTGGCTGCTTGCAGGTATATGTCATAGTTGCCACCCATGACAACTTCCCCTCACTTTTCCCCACACAGAGCCCTGCCCAAGTGGACTGACTGCTTTCCCTGGCAATCTTCCCAAACACACGCCTTCAGGGGTGGCATGAATTGTCCCTTCCAAGCTGAGAAACAATGTCACTTTGGGAGGGAGGCAGAACCAAGTCAGAGCAGCCCACCTGGCAGAGGATCCCAATAGGCCCAAGCCTGTCAGCCTGGACCTCCAGGCCTGTCCCCTGCCCTGTGGACAGCTGTGTCTTGGAACTGTAGTGTATGATTTCTTACAGCACCAGGGTTTGTGTTCTGAGACACCAGCATGGGACAGGGATAGACCAGCAGTAGCCCTGGGGGCAGTAGCAGCAGGCAGTCTGGTATCTGATGCCAAAAGGAAAACTCAAGGAAGATGGGCCTGTTTCTGTCCTTGGTTAAAGTCAGCTGGCAGGTACAGGGCTTCACTCCAGACATGACAGGGAAGAACTCTGGGCTCCCAGACCAGCCTGGAGTTCAGAAGTAGGCTGGCTCAGACCAGGGGCAGGCCTACCAGGCTGCAAGCCCCCTATACCTCACTCCTTGCCAAATAGGAAGAGATAGCATCTGTGTAGCCAAATTGATCACAACAGTGTGCCTTTGGGGAGGGACCTGTGTCCTTGGCTGTCAAGATAGGCGTGGTACTCACCTCTGCAGACTGGAGGGCTGGGCCAGGCATCAAAGTTGGAACTGAAAGAGGGTAGTGAGGGGAAGCATTGTCCCTGCACAGCCTAGGGAGAATGGATCCCAGCATGCCAGGGCTCCTTGCAGAGAAGCCAGCAGCCTCTTTGCTGCCAGACAGTATGCTTAGGGCTCCAAAGCCAGGCTGACAGCTGCTCTTGGCATGCCCTTAGGAATAACCCCAGGGTCCCAGGAGCTGTTGAAGGAATGGGGGTGTCTGTCCCTGGGTACCTGGATAACCAAGTGGGCCCCAGTAGCCAGGTCTCTCCAAACCCTGATTTGGTGCCTTTCTAATTGCCAGCTACTTCAATCCCAAAGTTTGAACCTGCAAACACCTTTACTCCCAGCCACTTTGCCTTGCTGTGTTGTGTGTGTTTTCCTGGTGCTTGGGAGCCCCTGTGGTTCGCATTGCAGAGTGTGTGTGTGTATAGACACGAGCATCCCCGCTGCCATTGCACCAGATGCTTGGAGTCAGTTGTCTTATGTTTACCAATAAATAAAATTAGTACTTTTAATATTTTATTTGCTGCTATGTATGTGTGTAGCTAGGCATCTACCGCATCTGGCTTAAGATTCATTGTTTGTTTATTCCCAAGGGTCTTATGTGAACTGTCACTGTATGTATGGTGGATGGGTGTGTGAACCTCTGTTTTGTTTCTGTATCATATAGGAAGAAGTGGCCAGTTTGCTATATTTTTATATATGTATTTTTTCATACCAAAAAGAGTGTTCCTTATTTTTGGTTACACTCAGAATTTGGGTAGAGAGGGTTCTGGGCCACGAGGGGAAGACTAGAGGTTGAACCAATGCCAATCATTGGCTTGATTTGTTTTTTAATTAAAAAAAAATCATGTATGCCACTTCTAATTGCTTTAAACTATGGTGGTTAGTTTGCTTTCTTGAGAGAACAAAAGTGGATATGTTCTCTGAGTAAAAAAAATCTTTGCTGAAATAGGGCAGTAGCCCATCCCCCATATTTAGTTGGGACCAACCCCTTCAAGGAAATACTTTCCCAGTGAGCCCAGAAGACTCTAGGGGAAGAGATTGGAGGTGGGAGAGGTAGTGCCTAGATAAGCAGCTATTTACTCAAGTGCATTTCATGATTTCTAGCAGTTTTTAAAAACTAACACTAGCATAGGTTGCAAATTTAGACTTGTGTTAATTTATTTTGTAGGGGAGAGACATTAGCAAATGGTGTCAGAAGATTTTTGTCTTTTTGTTACCTCTTAGTATATCAATAAATTTTTCAGAAAACTTTCTGGCCTGGTGTACATTGAGTGCTGCCCGGGAATGCAATAGACTGAACTTTCCCTTGAGGCAAAATAGTCCTCTGGACATGAACTGGATAGTTGTGGCATGGAAAAACCATCGACTTTGGGGAAGGCTTAGCCACTTGGATAGGATACAGAAAAAGACATTTTTCTAAGCAAGGAAAGGGGTCCCTACAGCAACTGTTTATAGCTGAGGACAGTTGGGCATCCTGGGGCACATGTGACAGTGTCTGGAGATAACTTCAGTTGTCACAAGGGGAGGTAAATTAGCATCTAACGGGTAGGGACCAGGGATAGTGCTAAACACAGGATGGTCCCCTACAACCAGAAAAGGATGTCAGTACTGCAAAGTTTGAGAAACTGGTTTAACGGGGGAAGAAAGAAAAAGCACAAATAATGAGCAGGGTGAGGAGGAGGCTCTAACCAGCATCTAGTGGGGGGGGGGTCGGGGGAGGTGGGGAATCAGGGACACTGCCATACACAACACACTCCAGGTATCTCAGTTCCAGAAGTGTAAAGAGAGACCAAAATTCCACACCTACAGCACCCCAAGGTCCAGTGTCAGAAGCTGTTCTAGTTGAATCTGCTGCATGTGGTGGTGCTTTAAAAGGGCACAGCTGGGCCAGGCTCAGTGGCTCACACCTATAATCCCAGCACTCTGAGAGGCTAAGGTAGATGGATCTCTTGAGTTCAGAAGTTGGAGACCAGTCTGAGCAAGAGCAAGACCCCATCTCTACTAAAAATAGAAAAAATAGGCTCGGCGCCTGTGGCTCAAGCGGCTAAGGCACCAGCCACATACACCTAAGGTGGCGGGTTCAAATCCCCAGCCCGGGCCCGCCAAACAACGATGGCTGCAACCAAAAAATGGCCAGGCGTTGTGGCGGGCGCCTGTAGTCCCAGCTACTTGGGAGGCTGAGGCAGGAGACTCGCTTGAGCCCAGGAGTTGGAGGTTGCTGTGAGTGTGATGCCACAGCACTCTACCCAGGGGGACAGCTTGAGGCTCCGTCTCAAAAAAAAAAAAAAAAAAAAAAAAAATAGAAAAAATAGTCCAGCATTGTGCCTGTCACCTGTAGACCCAGCTACTCAGGAAGCTTGAGGCAGGAAGACGGCTTGAGCTCAAGAATTTGAGGTTGCTGTGAGCTCTGATGATGCCACAGCACTCTACCCAAGGTGAAAGAGTGAGACTCTGTCTCAAAAGTAAAAAATAAAAACATAAATATAAAAAGATACAGCCATAAAACTCCTGGGGAGGTATTATGCACTGCAAGCGGCTTTGAGTCAGTGGCACTGATGTCCTGTACCAGGACTCCTGATAAAGAAACAATTTCCTTATTTTACATGTATAACCTTTCTGCTCCTTTAAGGTGTCCTCTGTCTTGGGCATAAATTTATTCATAAATTTCAGCCTGGGGAGAATGGAGATTCCTTTGAAGTGAAGAGCGAAGTTGGACCTAGATGTTGGGGCCGCTGGTTGGTCGTAGGCTGGTTGGGGTGAAGGCCCGAAAGTTTTAGGAGAGAAGGAAGCTCCCGCTACAAATAGAAATGCAACCTTCGGCTCCACCCAGATCCAGAAAGGCCCGCGAATTCGGTTCTTGCAGAGAAGATTGCTGGTGTTGGGATGTGTGCGCGCGCACACACACACTCGGCCTTTAGTCTCTAGCTATTTTGTTTTGAGTAAGGCAGGCAGGGGCGACCTGGTTGCAGAAGCGGGTGGGGACCGCCAGGAAGGAGAGCTGGATCTGGCTTAGCCCGGATGGAGAGCCTATTTCTACTGGGACTCGGCCAGACGGATGCGGGCCCTGGCCCACATGGCCTTTGTTAGTTTCTACCCTGCTGATCAGATCGCCTAATCCATCGCCTACCCAGGAGAATGGGCCGGGCTGTGAGGGGCCGGACTGGTCCAAGGGCCCGCCCCGCGCTGCGGCAGCCAGCCCGAGGGTGCCTGGAGCGATCAGAGGATTGGGAGGACTAGGGTCCGTGTCCGGGCCTCTGGACACCTCCTTCCTTCTTTCCACTGTTGTGGCTCGAGGACTGGGCTACAAGGTGGGCGCATAGAGGGTGACCATGGTGGTGGGAGCTAAGCTGTGCCTCCGGCTGCGGGGAGACGAGGCTTTCTCTGCTCCAGTGCAGAACCCGAGAATCGCCCGGCTCCACGGTGGGCGGGGTGGGCGCCGGGACAGGGGCTGTGGCCGCCGCCTGTAGAGGGCGCGCGCGCCCCACGAAGTTGGGGCCGTGGCACTTTGGACGTGCGAGGGAAACTCGCCACCCGCGGATCCGGGCTGCTACGGAACGCAGTCGCACGACCTGCACCCCTCGGCTGCGGTCTTCAGCTCCCTCTGTCTCCGAAGCTTCAGAAAGAAGGCCCCGGCCGCAGCCCACAACCTCTCTGGTGGTGTTCAGGTCCGGAGGCTGCAGGCGGCTGCACATACCAAGGACCCTGCTGAGCCCTGAGTCGCCCGCATCTCGACTCCCTCTAGGCTAAAATCACCCCTGAGCTTGGAGACTTTTGGGTGAGAAGAAAAAACCAAAGCATGATCCACAAAGGGAGAAAATGGATGCGATCTGACTCTAAGAAAAGCGTAAATATTCCAGTTCAACCCAGGGCGTTGGGCCAGGCTCCGCGTTGTTAACTACCGCAAGAGTCTTCCCTGCGCTCAGGAGACAGGGGGATGTGCCCAGGCCAGAGGCAGCGCCGCCGGTGGTTCACGGCTTCTAAGCCTGGTCTCAGTAGATGTGGTGGATTCCCGGAGAAACTGTCCCCAAATGGAAACCCACTGAAGAAAGTCCTCAAGCCAGAGGTTGGTGGCTGCCAGCATACAGAGAAAAAAGGGTCGGCACCTTCCTGTCTCCCTAAACGTGAGCCCATTTCACTGTCCCAAACACCCAGGAGTGGGTGGAGCCCTCCCCTGCGGCCAGGCCTGGCTGCAGGGCTGGCCCCTGGCCGCGCCCATCACTGGACCACCCCACCCACCTTCTTTCACCCCTTAGGGTGAGCCACACGAGCCAACCCAGCCTGGCTTAGGGCACGGCAAGGGAGGCCTCAAGTGCCCAGCTACCCTACCCAGCGAGAGGCGCAGGTCGCTCACGTCCGAAGGGCACCCAGTGCTCTTGGACTGGCTGCCCCGCCCGGCCTCTTCTCTCCTCCTGAGCGGCCCCGGATAGGTCACAGAGCTGGAGAAGGTGGGGAGAGCTCTGCCAACGGCCAAGCCACCGACTGCCCAGCCGCGTGCCCACGCCCCCCCCCCCAGAAGGACCCTGCAGCTGCGCCTGGATCATAGCTTCTGGGCAAGACGACGACCGCGGGGGACTTGGAAGTGGAATTGGGTTCAATAGGACGGCCTCTTTGGGGGATCCGAGGGCGGTTTTCTAGTGCCAGCTCACGACCACGCCTCCGCTGCTGCGTAGTGGATCAGGGTGGGTCAGGAAGAGCAGGGAACACCCCCACCCTCAACCCACCCCAACTTTGCCTTGCACTTTGCTCTTCCCTCGACTGTCCCTTGCCCAGCCTGGCGTTTAAGCCCACCAGGGGCAGAGAGGCTGCGGGGCTTGGGGGAGCGGGGGTAGGGGGGGCGCTGGGCTGCTGCGCCGCGGCTCCAGGCTCACTAATCACATCAGCGCGCTCTGCGCCGGCTCCGACCAGGCAGTTGCCTAGCAATACCCGCGAATCCAATTCCTCAATCAATAGGCGCGAGGCTCTGGATTTCGGGGAGCGCTAGCGAGGTTGGGTGGGTCTGAGGGGCGGGCGTCTCCACAGCACTGAGGATCAAGACAGGAGGACGAGGGAGAGAGGTCGGAGACCAGTGACGTCCCGACTGGGGGCTGGGCGTGCGAGGGAGGCCCCGCTAGAGGAAAGGGGAGCCCAGATGTCACCCGCACCCTCCAGGAGTTCAGGAATTCTGCCCAAGTCCGAAAAAGTGCGCTCTGTAATCGAGAAGACCAACAGCTTCCCCACACACCACGGGTAGGACAGTCATACCCAGCTCCCTCCCAACTAGGTGGGTCCCCAGTTGAGTATCAGCCTTTGCAGGACTGGTCCTGCGGAGGGGTGGGGAATGGGTGGGAGGGTGGGGGGATGGACTGGTAACTAGAGAGGAAGGATTGGTCCTGTCCTGGGGTGCCTCTTCCCTCTGCTCAGGGAACAAACCAAAAAAGAGTAAAACTTAAGACATGTCTCTATTTACAAAGTATATATTTAAACACGTAAAAAGCGGTATTGGATACAGACATTCACGACCGCATAAGATAGGTACCGCGAAGCTTCACTCTTGAGCTGAGGCAGAGATCGATTCAAGATTTGCACAAATCTTAGAATTAAATAAACTCAGCAGGCGCGTACACCTCGCGGTTGCAGACTCCCAGCACATGGTCCCTAGCCCCTGCCACTCACCCCCAAGGTCAGCGCTGCAAGAGCTGGAGAGGGGAGTCAGACGCGCTCCGCCACCGACAAATGCCAGAACGGAGAGGAGGTGTGGTCAGAACCAGGCTGGCCAGAGGAAGGTCAGAGGAAGGGGCACTTCGGCCCCAGGGAAGGAGGGAGGTAGGAGCAAGGAAGGAAGGACCAGAAGGAAAGGTGGCCCGGTGAGACTCATGTCCTCAATTTATGTCCACTCGGTAATGATACATCCCTTCAATGAAGTTTCATCTGAAAATAGTGTCGACATTTAAATAGATACACTCGGTCAACTTCGCTTCTTTATACAAAGTCTAAAATACCAGTTTACAAATGTGAGCAGATAAAAATCCCCATTCCAGGGGCTTCTCTTTATAGGCGCAATTTGATATTCAGAAACAAACAAAATCTCACGTAGTACACCGATCTCCTCTCTCTCGCTTTCTCTCTCTCTCTCTCTCTCTAAAGGCAAGAAAGTCCGGAGGAGAGGCCGAGAAGCGGAGGTGGGAAAGCGGGAGTGCGGAGGACCAGGCCCGGGCTCCCTCCCGCGGCCTCCTCCGCAGCAAAGCTCCCCCACACCCGCTCCGGGCCTCACTCGTCCGGAGTCTGTGCTTCCTCCAGCGCGCAGGGCCACCGCGTCACTCCCTGAACCAGCAGTGCGAAGTTAGGTCTCCGCTGGCCCTTTAAGGGCGGGGAGGGCGGGGAGGCCTCTGGATCAGTGCTCCAAGGGACGGGGGTGGGGTGGAGAGGACGATTTGTGCTTTTGGGTCAAAAGAGGGGCGCGCGTTCTGCGCCTCCGAACGCAGGGTGGCCCAGAGTCTGCCAGGGTGGGGGCGTCAGTGCCCTGCCGCCCTCGGCCTCCTCTGCCGCCGGCCGCCTCGACTCCTAACTCCCGCTCCTCCCTCCTCTTTGGCGGAGTTTGTGGAGTTCAAATAGAGAACACTGCGAATCGAAAAGGCCTATAAATTATAGTTTTTGCTTTTAAGAAGGAGGTGGGGGAAAGGGAAAAGCCAAAGTTCTGATGCGCATTCTTGGATGAAAACCCCGCCTCGCCCTCGTTCCCCTCGCCCCACCGAGCGGCGGGGATGCGAGTCCTGCCACGGTTCCGAGCCCGCGCCCGGTCCTCCACCGTACTCCAAGCCTGGCCTCGGCGAGGGCCTGGGTGCGAGGCCGCTGCTCCCGGGCCGCGCCCGCCGCCCGCCGCCGCACCTCCCTCCGTGGGTCCCACGAGGTGGGCCTGTCTGGCCTTGAGTCCGTCGGAGCGCCAGCGGCCCGCCCTCCCCGGGGGAGGGAAGCTTGTCCAACTCTTCCTGGGAGGTGGGGGCCACCGTCTCTTCTGGCGAAGCTAGAGGACGCGAAAAGGAAAAGTCCACCCCAACACTTTTCTTGTACAACAAATGTCTCGAACTCTGGGCACTGACACGCAATCCTCCCAATTTATCCTGGCATTTCGGGAATGTAAACAGATTCGCTGGATTTCTTTTCTTTCTGCGGAGTAAGGAAAGGAATTAAGGGAACGGGGAGACTTTATCCACATGACATACACACTATCTGCGTGTAGAATACACACCCCTCCCTAAAGTGCATTTCCCGGTGTAGTCCTGGGGGAAACCTGCTCCCCGCCATCCCGCCCGCCTGCCAGCCACTTTTTACCTTCAACCTCACACATGAAAGGTTATCCAAGTTAATACTTTTTTCCCCTAATAGACTTCTTAGTCTTAAAAAAAAAAAAATAGAAAAAAGAAAACCAGACTGACTCCACCCCCTTATTCTGATTGGGGAGCCAACCTTTTGTTGGCCTGGCTGGCCAATGGGAAGAGAGAAAAAATCTGGGCCCTGACTTGGTGCCAGGAATCTGGCACTAGGCTGCGGGAGGAGGGAGCACAGGCGAGGTGGGTAGGCAGCATCCCTCAGACACCGGCAGAAACTCAGGGCCCAGGCCCCCAACTTTCCTAGTGCCCTGGGGGTCAGGGGGCCCTCCTGCCCCAACTCAGTCGGCTGCCTCAACTAAAGCACACTGAGTCTCTCTCTTTCCTCATTTAAATAAAACAACTTCAAGAGTTGAAATATATATATTTAGATATTTTTCTTAAATAACATATTTACATCTAATAGAAAATATAACTCTAGAGATAATCTTTCCAACCAAAACTGAAGGGGAGGAAGGAGGAATGAAAGGGACTGAGGGGGTGTGAAGTCAGGGACAGGACCAGCCAGGCGGCCACATCCCACCCAGAAATTAAAAGCACTATGCCAAGCTTGCGCTCACTCTCTTCCCTGCTCTCTTGTCCTGGGCTCACCCACTCAGCAATTCATCTTTTCTCTTTAAAAAAGCCTTGGTCCGTGTTACTTTCCTTAATGGTGACGGTCAAAAAGTTTGAGGTCACATCTGTGACCACCACCTTCTCCAGGTTAGTCAGGGAGGGGCTCCAGGACTCTTCCTCAGGGTCCCCCAGGATTCTGGCCACTGGGATCCTGGCGATGAGGGAGGGCCTTCCCCCCTGGGCCCCCATGTCCCGATACAAGCCTCCCACAGAGCCAGGGGTGCCTGAGCCATGCCGGACCCGGGAGCCACCAGAGTCTAGGGCACCCTGGCCTTTGGCCTCCAGGAAAGCAGCCCTGTGCTTTATGACCCTGGCTGGGAAGGTGTCCACAGCCAGCTTGCCCGTGGCCTCCGCTGAGCTAGGGCTGGTCACACCACATTGCACCAGGTCTGAGTCCTGCCTTCGGGCCAGCTGGATCACACTGTGGCCTGCTGGGAACTTTCCTGCCCCTGAAGGGGTGTCGTCCAGCCTCCTGCCCTTGAGGTAATCTGTAAGGCCATCGCTGGGCTCTCCTAAGGGCCTCTGTGAGGGGTCCAGGAGCTCCTTCCGGGGCTTGGGGCCTCTCTTCTTGGAGCTGTCCCCTGGTGAGCTGGGCTTGTCATCCACTCGGCTGGCTGCCCGCTCTCGCTCCCTCTCACGTTCCCTCTCTCGTTCACGCTCCCTCTCCCGCTCCCGGTCCCGGTCCCGAGGGGGCTCTGCTCTGCAGGTGCTGCTGGTGCTGCTGCTGCTCCCTGGTGGGGACAAGCCCATGTTCCGAAGACCTTCACGGGCTCGGGAAGTGGAGGCCAGATCCTGAGGTGAGCGGCCAGGGTAGGGAATCCGAATACCCCGGGCTGAGTCACTTCGGAACTCATAAGTTTTGGCCTTTGCCTTTGCCTGGGCCTGCAGGAGAAAAGATGGTGTCAAGAGTAGAGCAGGGTGCTGCCCCACCCCTCCTCTAGCCTTCAACTCTCAGCCTCACTCTCTGATGCCTGGGCATTTCTATAGAATGTAAGTGAGGGAGGAGGGTGTGGAGCTGAGAGGTGGCAGCAAGGGGGAAGCAACAGAGGATCTGTCTGGAAGCAATCATTTGCAGAAAGCACATTTCTTCTATTTGCTTACATGTATATTTGTGATGGCTGAGAAGGAGGTTAAAGGAATTCTAGTGGGGCCAAGCCCCTCCCCCCAAGCATCCTTTGGTGCTGCCACTGACCATTCACCACAGTGAATCCTGTCAGGGGACTCTCCTTGATTTACAAAAAGGCCACATGTACCAACACTGCATTAGCTGATAGCTCTCGGGACCCCCTTCCTAGAAAATGACCCAACAATATTGCTGTCCACCATTGGACACTGCCATCCTACCTTGAGGAGGAAGGTTTTAGGTTTGGGTCCTCGTTTTTTGGGGCCATAGAGCTCCATCTCTCGTTCCCTGGAGACAGGTGGGAGGAAGAAAGGGTGTGTGAGTAAAAAAAAAAAAAAAAACCAAGCAGGTCTCTAGTCCCAGCTGATAAGAAGCCACCCTACATGTCTCTAAGTGAGTGGTGGGGCTTGGAGGGTCTGTACCTTTCTTCAAAGGCTGCCAGCAGGCGAGCATCTAGGATGTTTTCTTCTGGCTCCCATGTGCTGTACCTGAAGGAACCAGGAAGAAGCGGGCATCAGTCCCAGGAGCAGGGAGTGAGTGGAGGGGGGTGTGTGCAACTTTTCTCCTCGAATTGTATTGTATTTCAATATAAAGGGGGAAAAAGAGGAAGAAAGAAACCTCCCAAATAACAGTCTGAGCTTGAGAACTGCATATAACCGACTTACTTCTGCGACCAGCCCTTCCATTTCACGAGGTATTCCATGCGTCCCTGCGGATGCAAAGGGGAAATGTGTGTGTGTGCATAGGGAGAAATGCACGACGAGGACAGAAGAAATACACGCGAAAATGCATGCACCAAATGAATGCTCAAAACCCCACCGCAAAAGGCACGCACCCGCTGCACCACCCCTGCACCTAACGCTGCACAAAGTGCATGCACCGGCATTCATTTCCCCACCCCGCCCCCCACCAATGCAATCTGTGCATCGCTGCAAGTCTAAGGAAAGCGCTTGGGCTCAGAGCTGCCGCCGCCGCCGCCACGGCCGCGGCCGCTGCTGGGACCTGGGGGAAGGGAAGCTGGGCTGCAGCAGGGGGAGGGAACCGGCTGGGAAGGGAGGGCCCCGCCACGCCGAGGCCCGAGGCCCAGGGACACCTACTTTCCGTATGCGTCGCTTCAGGAGGGCTTCGGCCGCGAACACCCGCTCCCCCACCGCTGAGAGCTCCATGTTGACTCGCCTCTTCCCCCCTTGGCCGCTTCCAGGAGCAGAAAAGCAGCAGCCAGCGCGCGACAGACCATAATACTCTCCCGCTGACGTCAGTTCTCCTCCCCCTCCCCGCGCGCCCGCTCCCTCCGCGGCCCCCCCGCGCTCCTACGCTATCCTCCCCCTCCTCTCTCCCCGCGCTTCCTCCCGCCCCACGTGTTGCTAACGACGTTGCTAAAGCGGAGCGGCCAGAGGCCTGCTCCCCTGCACGCTGATTGGGGGAGCGCCGGGCCACGCCCCTCTCTCTTTCTCCCCCGCGTTGCTACGTGACCGGAGTTCCAATCGCCAGGAGGCGGAGTACTAGGCGACTACGGAGACAGAGCGGGCGGGGTAGTGGCCGCTGCCGGAAGTGACGCCACGAGGAGGGCGGGCCCTGCCGCTGTCAGTCTACGGGGCTGGCCCGGGGGCTGGCCGCCCTCTGTCCTCCCCCGACCCCCCCTTCCTCGCTGCCAACTCGTCGCTCCGGTGTTCTGCGTCCCCCCCACCTCTCACTGAGACCCTCTGGGCGATGTTATCTAGGCTCCATCCCCTAGGCAGACCCCGCCCCGCCCCACCCCCACAGCCCGGGACTCGGCGCCCTCCCCTCCTCTCACCGCCGCTTGCGCGGCACAATGCACAATGCACAGGTGCCGGGGCGCCGCGATCCCCGCCTGAACCCCAAGACCCAGCGAAGCGACCCTTGGCCCGCTCTCCCGGTCCCCTCCCCCCGGAGCCGCACACCGACCCTCGGTCTCCATGGCAACGGCCTCCCCCGCCGTCGCCAGCCGGGACCCGCTAACAAATCAATGTGCCTGTGTCTCGGTCTCCTGTCGCGCAGCCCTGCCCTCGGCCACCCTCCGGGCCCTGCAAGACTAGCTGGCTGGAGCACTCGCCCCAGCTCGCAAGCCGAATGCAGACCTGGTGGAGGCCTGGCATTTCCCGCGCCAGCTTTCATGCGGCCCGGGACCCCGCAGTGGCCGTCGCGCGCCTTCTTTTTGCCCCCAGCTATCCCGGAGACCCGCAGCCACCTGCCTCCTGCCCCCAGGCCGCGCTGCCCGCCCCGCCAGACCTGGCCAGGAGCGTCCCCAGCTCAGGCTGCCCTCTGTCCTGTGTCTGGGTGTGCTAAGGGCATGGACTACCATCCCAGCAGAGCCTGGAGCACGGCCGGTGATGGGGCACGCAACTGGGAGTATGTCTGGCTTCCCCGAACCCGGGCTCCCAACCCGCGCACTTCCTGTCCGCTGCTCTTCCCAACGTGCGCGGCACTCTAGAAGAAACGGCGGCACAGGAAGCTGGGGGTCGTCGCCTGGTCCAGTGCGGGCTTGGCAAGAGGGTCTCACGCGTGAAGATGGTGGGCTGCTGAAAGGGGGACAGGACCGGGCCGCTGATGCCTTAGCGTGCGCACACGCGAACAGGCACACTCCTCCGACCCTTCTGCTGGCTGGGCTCCGGGCGACCCATGGCGTGGGCGGCGTGAGGACAGCAGCGTCAGTCTGGGCCCTGCTCCCTCCAACCCTGTTCTCTTATCGCCCAAACTCCAAATCACAACTTCCACTCCTTGGAACCAGCGATTTAGTTAAAACATCGATCATCAACTTGACTGGAAGTGGTTTCCCTTGGCCAGGGATGGGGAGACGAGAAAGGGAGGAGAAAGAGAGAAGAGAGAGAACGATAAGGAGAGCAAGAGAAGAAGCTAGCAAAGGAGTCTGACTTGAAGGAGCGGGAAGCCCAGAGTGGAAAACTGCTGTCTTGTCCAAAGTGAGGTGCGCGCAGGCGGTGGGCGCGGCGAAATCTTCGACCCGCGGGCCAGACGTGGCGCTGGGCCCACCTCCCTCCCAATCCTCCCCTCGCCCCAGGAAACGCGGGTTCCAGTTTTTGGCCTTCGTTCCAAACTTTACAAGGTGGGCGCTAGGTGAACAGTCTCATCTCTCCAGCCATTCTGTCTTAACGAACAGCGCGTCGACGACGTTCAGATTGCCCAGAGACCAGCGCGGGGCCGCCCGCGAGAGGCCACAGACCGCCGCGTCCTTAATCATAAAAAGTCATTCCCGGTAACAAATAGTTTCGTCGGCCGGTGCCAGCGATACAGCTGTTTCTGTTTAAGCTTAAATACTTTCCAACAGTTTGGGCAGTAAAAATAAAGTCGGCCTCAGCCGCCTATAAGTGTCTGGTTTCCCCGCCCAAAGAAAGCCCACCCTCCGCCCTGGGCCCGGGTCGCTCTGCACGTCCCGCCTGCCCCCTCCTGGAATCCACCGCCCGCCGGGATGTCTGCCGGGCCACCCCAAATCCCGCAGCGCCGCCCAAGCTCCTCTGGCCACTCTGGGGGCACTTTGGAGGCTGGGCGGGGGGAACCTACTCAAAGTGGAGAGGGACCAGATCCATCTCCCTTTCCGCCTCCCCTCACCCCTGGAAAGCCCGCCTGTACCCCCGAAGAGTGGTGCTTTTCTTTCAGATAGGGTTTCCGGAGCCCTATCCCTGGAACAGGGCTTAGGCTGGGTGCCTTTACAGACCCTGGGGCTTGCAGAGGTCGATGGTATTAGTTTCACGCTGAAAAAATCTCGCTCCTGTCCTCCCTCCCTGTGTTCCTTCCTTTTTCTCTCTCCCTTCTTTCCCTCCTTCCTTCCTGCTTCTCTCTCTTTCTGCTTCATTTTTCCTTCTTTGCTTAAATACTCTTGCAAAGTATTGCAGTGTTGGAAAGTATTGAAGAAATGAAACCCCTAACTCTAGCAGACACAGCCCCCTCCTCTAGGGGGGTATTTGGTAATTATTTTTGCTTCTGTATCCCATTCCTTCCCATCTTTGCATCTGATGGCGATTCTTTTGCTTGCTTTGAATGAAATTATGGCTCTTCAGGTGTCTGAGTTTGCAAACGTGAGGCGGGGTTCCTGCAGAGCCTATGGCAAAGGTGGGACTCAATTCAGAAGAGAAAGAGAGGGGTATAGAATAGCAGGAGTCAGACCTATTCCAGCTCTTGTCCTCTGTTCCACAGAGGAAGGTGACCCCAGAAGGAAGCGGTGGGAAGGGAAGGTGCATCTTGCTCAGCATCCTGAGTCAGCTGCCCGGCAGACAGCACAGTTATAGAGGGTATGACAACAGGTCACTGGGCGACCTCAGTCCTCCACAGTTTGGAGACAAAGAGGCAACAGTGAGCAAAGGGATTGTGTCTGGCACAACCTAGCCTGAGCTGGGCTCTGGCTTGGTAGGCATCGGAGGATGCCTTGTGTACCTGGAGAGGGCACTAGCCTTCGGGTCGTTCGTCCGAGTCTGAACCAGTCCTTTAGCTAGTGGCACTGTCTTAGGAACTAACGGAACCAGGATCCTCACTCCCTACCTCTCTTAATGAGCTCCCCTTCCCCTACCAACTCAATTCTTGCCTCTTCCTTTCTCCACACAACCGCCTTCCTCCTTCAAAATCAGGTAAGTGTTTTTCCCCTGTAAACCTCCCAGGAGTAAACAAAACAAAGTTTCAAAGGACAAGAACACCCTGTTCTTAATCCCACCGCTCTGCAGTCCGTGGCTGTCAGGTTCTAACTGCGCCGCCTCTGCAGTAAATAAGGTAACTGCTTCCTATTACTTTAGCCCCATATGGCTGCAATTTGAGTGTCTTTGGAGACCGTGCGTGTGTTGGGGGGGGAGTGAAAGTGGAAATAAAATGCTCTCAGATCGCATTTTTATGAAGGAAATTGTTTGCAATTCTCTGAACGGCCACCCCCCCACCCCACAAGCTGGCTTGTTTCTTTGTTTATGGAAATGCAGGCGCCCAACAGCCTGGGGACACCTGCTTACCCTAACCCTGGGATCTCTCGCCCTATTCCGCTGTCCTGGAGACCTGGGCGTACGGCCAGAGACTGCCCTTGGGGACCTCCAACTTGCTTCTGGGAGCCCACAGGAACCCTTGGCCCCAGCCTTTAGAAGGTGCTGGACTCTGAACTTCATGCCTGCTGCAAGCCCTGAGGCCCCCCCGATGTCTGGGGCCCTCTTAGGCCACCCTAGGCATGCTGTCCACGGACTCGTCCTCCAGGAACGGAGGCCCAAGACTGGCGCTGTCAGAGGAGGGGCAGGGCTTCAGCCAGGCTGGGAGCTGGGCTCGGGTGTGGGGACAGACCAGCAAGCCCAAGTGTGTTGTCTGGCTGGAGGCTGAGGCCGGGCCTCAGCTTATTCTTTGGGAGCATCACCTCAGTAGCGCAGTGAGCGTCCGACTTGCTGGGTCACTCCTGGACACAAATGTGGCCTGTTTGGAAACCAACAGCTTGACTCTGCTTTCCTCCCCCACCCCGCCCCCGACAGCAAGCAGTGAAGTGAGCAGGGGCGGCTCTGAGGTGTGGCAGTGTGGGTGGTGGCCCCAGGGCTAGGCAGGCACCTCCCAATTCTGCTCTCTCCCCAAAGCTTGAGCCAGGGCTGGGTGCTGCCTGATATGGGAATGCCACAAGGGTGGCCCAGCACTGTGAGAAAAGGTCTGAAGGTTCAGACTGGTCAGAAGCTAGAAGTGAGGCTGCCCAGGTTTCTAGCCTTGGCAGAAACCTAGGTGTCCGCTGGAGCAAGACGCTCCCACCTTTCCTGCCCCCACCTTCTCCTCCCTAATGGACATTCAGATGCTCTTTGTTAGAGAAGCAGAAGGATGGGCCGCAAAGTTTAAAAGGGGGCTAACCACTTTGCAATCACCTCCCACAGGGTGGCACACACTCTCTGTAGAGGCTGTGTAACCCCTAACTTCTGGGTTACACTACAGGAGCTGAAATCAAACCTCACCTCACCTCCATGGGAGGAAAATATCTCCTTCAAGTTAAGCATCATCAGCTGAGCAGTTGCTTTATGCTTGGTACCTGCATTATCTCACATAACAGTCACACAACCAGCAAAGAAGTCCTGCTACACTCACCATGTAGACGAAGAAAGGGAGGAACAGAGAGGCAGGAGCTTCCCTAGGGCACACAGTAGGGTTTCTGTCTGAGAAGTCTCAAGCTCAATTCTCTCATATCCCACAGCAGGGGTTTCTGGATGTTCTGACATTTCACTTCCTCCAAAGCTTGAGGAAAGAATTCAGGGTAAGGACTGGTGGAATATCTTGGACCCAGCCACAATGATGCCCCTAG